TTCTCTTGTCTTCTGGATTTGGTTAAAAATTACAAGACTACTGAGTTGGACACGAGTAGTCGTGAACACAAAAAATCAGATCGGTTGTTAAATAAAATATAGAGAGTGTCCTCAGTGGTAGACGGATCATGGGTTCCTTTGCAGTCAGGCTAACCGTGGGAGGTTTTTGTGCTGTTTTATTCTCCATGCAACTATAATGCGGGTTAGTTTCATCGAAAAAGTCCGTCATGGAGGCAAAATTTCTCCGAATATCTGATCCAGGGGTTCCCTTGTCATCTGTATTGGGTTCAAAATTACAAGGCTACGGAGTTGAACATCCACATTCGTAAACACCACGAAAAAAATTGAGTCGGCTGTTCAACGACCGCTATAATACAGAGAAGGGTGGCTGAGAGAATAGAGCCTCTAAATGAGGTGACCTGAGTTCGATCCCAATGATAGCTGGTCGATTCGAACTCGGCACCCACGAGGTATGACGAGGGGACGCTATTTTCAAGATTGCGGCTACAGCGATGTAGGTAAGAGACGTGTCCGGGAAGTTCCAACAGTGTACATACATGGCAATTTTTTATTTTTTTCTCCCGTTAACTATTAGGGATTCTTTCAATTTAGCTTTAGAACAATTGTTTAAATACTTTATTGGATGCAACATAAAGTTACATAATCCTGGCTCTCCCAAAAGAGCCATAAATGGTCGCTTTCCAGAAAGCGGCTTGGCTGAACGAAAGAAAATAGAAATGAGAAGTTCCGATCTTCAAATAATTAACCAGTGCGGGGAACTGCTGGATGCGGTGCGCTATACAAGAAAAACAACTCACAGGCTGAGAAGCATACTGCGATTTAGTAGAGCGCTCTGCTATTATTATCTAATAAGAATTCTATTATTTTTTTTTTTAAATTTGGCTTTAATTGACTGTCATAGACAAATGTATGTACACCAAACTTAAATGTTAAAGGGTTATGTAATAAGTTCCAAATATATTAATATTGGTATACGAAAGCTGCCCACGCAAAGTACTGCGCTACATGCTACGGCGAGCTTAAAAATTCGAACATGCATGTACTTTAAGAACGTGCTCTGCGCATTGTTAAATGGCGATCGTTGTACGACTTATCGGATCGTATTCTCTCTGCAAAAATAGTGCTTCAGACAGGAAATGCAGTCCGAGTAGTCGTTACGAAATATTATTTCGAAGACAGACATGGCTGCGAAAAAACATTCATCCTATCATTTCATTGATTACTTTCCATAGAATTACAAACTTCGCTCCATTGCAGAGCTTTAGTTTAATTTTTAAATACGGATTTTTAAGGTTCGGTTATATACACCATAAAAAAAGAAAAGTTTGTTTCTGTTGGTGGTAAAAATAAAAAAAGATTGGAACCTTAAATAAATTAGATGAATTAAGAGACATATCTGTTCATTTGAATTTTTTTTATTGTTCGTTTACATATCCCCGAGTGCAATGACTTCTGTACATTGGTATTAAACTGTTTCTTCTTATGTCAGATGGTTGAGCATATCCTGGAACAATAAAAAAAATAGAGATTTAAGACATTAAAATATACTGGGGGACGTTAAATTTAATAAAATAATGGTTGTTTTCCTAATTATATTCATTGATTGCACAATCCTGTGGATTTGAACCGGAAGTTTTATTTATCTAAATTAACTTACACGCGTTAATTATATGTTTCTAATAATTGTCAAAAATATCACTTTGATAGGCTCGTCAAAAGCTGTTTTATAGTTATTGTTATTGAAATGACATGCCTGAACGATAATAATGTTGTTTTTAGTAGATTTTAATGAGGGGACGTGTTTTTCATTCATGTTGTCTTGTGTTTCAGATTTTTCCCAATCGCTTCCTATTTTAGTTACTTATTGCCAACTCGAAAAAGAAATTGCGTCACTTTTTTTAAGCTAAAAGTTTTATGCTACATAGATATCATGATAGTAAGACTTCCGAATAACTGTTATTTTGAAGGTTCTTTGTCAGGTCACTTAAAAAAGTCCGCACTCATGAAATAACACGAGTCTTTGCAAACAATCGCCATTATTTTGCAAAATGACAGACAAATTGTTAATGTTTGCAGGATCGGTCTTTTGGGGCTCTCTTATCGATAGCCTCATCATCCCGTGAGTGATGGGTGGTCCATCCATAGTAAAATGGAATGGTTCTTGAAGGCAGTCAAAGAAGCACCAAGAGAGGTGTCTTCGGATGAACATCCATTATGACCTCACGGTTAGCTACATTCAAAGATGTCACGATTCTAATGACATTCTGGAAATGCTTGCTTAGAATCCCCTCCTGACTGGTCTGATAACTTTGGAGAATTCGAACTCACTTACCTTGATGCTAAAGGGAATACCTTGCAAGTGACGTAGGGTGGGTATCTCGATCCTGATTGGATTGTTGAAGCGTGGCATTTGTTTACGCTAGCAACTGTTCTTTCCATTCCCTTTCGAGTAAGCCAAGCTCGTCAATTATCCATTCTCTTAAGTGACGCATTCTAAATTCTTTCGCAAAGATTGAAACTCTCTCACTCTACATTTACACGGAGACTTTAACACAAAGCCACGTGGAACATAAAAAAACTACTTATGCATCGAAGTGGCCAGGAACACAAAACAAAAATACATCACGGTTAAAATGAAACACATAACCAAATAATAAATCTAAGTTTAGTAAAAGAGATGGGCGAGAAGGAATTCCATAAATTCGATGCGCGATACAGTTCTGCATTTTCTAACTTGTGTCGATAAACTTTGCTCAACTTTAATACCGCCATTTTGCTGATAACTGGCGATGACGTCATAGGTCGCATGTGTGGGAGGTCTCCTCTTGAAGTACAAAATGGAAATATCAGAGCATTCTTTTTCTTCTTTTGCTGTTTTCACTCAATCGAGATTAATTTTTTACTCTTTTGAAATGCCTTTTTTTCTTAAACAAAAACTTAATATTGAAAAGTTCCCAGATCACTCCACTTTATATACTGTTTTAGAGTCCTTGTCAAAAATAGAATCAGAGAAACATAGATATCCTTCAACATTGAAGAATGTCGCAACCTGAGATTATTATTTTTTTCTCTAACAATTTTATTGGCCTAGTTTAACCTCATTTGGGCCGTGATCACATGATTCTCCCTCACGGTATCGATTCAAAGGATATGTAGCGACCCGAAATCTCAATAAGGTACTCATCTGGACATCCGGTTGTTAGGGTGGTGGAAACAGAATAGAGTTGTTTTATGTGGTTTGACCTGTGTCCATTAGTTGTGAGCAATGCTGCTCTCTCAACTCTTATGGCAATATTTTGGGCCTCTTCCAGCATTCACGCATCGAGGCTTGCACAGACAAAATAGTTGTAGCTCATTGACTGCACAATGGGCTATTGGCGACGGTTTTTCGAAACATCCCTGAGGATGATCCGAAGACATGCCATCACAATTTTGATCCTCTGCACGACGATCTGCACGCGAAGTCGAGCACTTTACGGTAGAACAGTTTAACGAGGACGCAGACTGATCCAAGGGGTCACCCACCCGCACACTGACCGGTGATGCTTGACTTCGGCTATCTGCTCGGAACCGTGTCTTAACGATCAGTCCCACTGCGGGTCGCACAGACGAAATAGGTGTTCAGGAACTGGACTGGCCTTCCACAGAACACCTTTAGGACGCATTAGAGTGCAGATTTACGTTAGCCAGTCAAAATCCTCCCTCTGCAAGCACAGCTGAGATGAAAGTCGAATCAAAAACTGGTGGAAAAGTGTTCGTGTCATGACTGCAAAAGGGGGAGGGGCCCACATCCTATTAATATGTCTCACAGGACGCTCCATACCAATGGGTGTCTGAATACATTTGGCAAGATAGTGTAGGTACTTTTTAATGCTTGGAATTTGGAACCCCCTGATAAAAGGGTTAAACCAAAATAATATAGTTATTCATTTGATGTACTGACAAGTAAAGTAATTAGAAGAAGAATAACTTCAGTCTCTATTTACAGAAAATTCCTAAAACAAAACGAATTCCTTTAGCCTTACCTGATAAGAGCATTGTGTCGTTGAATTCACTTTTCACTAGATTCAGTACTTGCTTTACGCCTTCAGAACCCTGAAATACAATAATAGGATGTTCTTTTTTGAAAAAAGAATGGAGCTTTGACGTATCGAATGAAGTGCGGATTGTGTCAATCTTAGAAATCTCCCTCAGTTCTCTGTTAAATTTCGCGAAAAAAACGGAAAGAATTATACTTTTATTTAATGAAGAATTAACAATTCATTTATGAAATGGTTACTATTGTTGGAAACTTGACAAAAAGAAATTGTCCAAAAAATATATTAAAATACAAAATGCAGTCCATGGCAAAATTATGAGACGCACTCTAAGATTTTATGTAAAATCTTAATGATCAGGTCATACTACTCTATACAACTTTATTGTTTTGACGAGACTGTTTGTTTACGTTCCTGTATCCATAAGTTAAATGAGACGCTATATAATAAAAGTTTGACGATTGGATAAATTGAATGATATATTATATAAATAATATAGAATATTTATTATATCAAGCATTATATTAGTATATTATAATAATTAGACCCAATGATGAGACGTGTTTTAATACTGACATTTGTTCCAGACGCAAGTGCGTGAACGCAGATGCAGTGATTACCAGACGCAAATGCGATTATATTATTTCTTACATTATTCTTTTGTTGGCAACATGTATATATTCTTTGTGTACACTTGTGATAGTAAGAGAGTTTGTTCTATTTGATACTTGTTTTAGTGTTGATTATAATTAGGGAACATTTACGTTTATAACCAACACAGCATTGTTCCGCACGAGTTTAAAGGTAATACTTTTGTAGTCAAACATACGGGTAATGGGGTTTTTATTCAGGAGATTTTTTATGTACATCCGATTTGTATTTATTTTAAACGTATTGCATTACCCATGTTAACCCTAATTGATACAGGAGCGTAAGCAAATGCAAACCGGTTTCATCCTCGTAAAAACACTAGAGCTGTATAGAGTATCATTACTGATAATTACAATTTTACATAAAATCTTAGAGTGCGTCTCATAATATGGCCAGGGACTATATATAACATAACTGCACTATAACCAATCATGAAAGAAAAAAAACTCAATTAACAGCTCTAATTAATTTCTCGGCATAATGCTGGGGTTCGTATTTACTGTTTACATGAGGAATGTACAAAACTCGTCAAAGCATTGTTGAGTCCCTTTAAAGAAGCCGACATCTAGGAATAACGCCTGATTCTGCTTAACAAAGACTACCCATAATAGACATAAGTATATTTTATACGATAACATTGCGATTTTTGATGATAACAATGCATATGGAATACGATAATATCGTCATCATTATGGATACGATACTATCCTGGTCTAAATCGATAACATGGCACGTCAAATTGGGAATATTATTGATAACGATACATAGTGACAGCTTATAGTGACAGTTCATACATTTTGTTTCGGTATGGGTAATATAGACCACCAAAAATAACATTCATGAGTTAGATGAAACAAAGAAATATTCGGATACTATTTAAAAATCGGTATTTTTTTTCATTATACATCACGATATTAAAATTCATTTTTATCGCTTACGTGGCGCAATATGGGTGACCATTCGGTATCCCCAACACATGGATGAGTACCAATTTTTGATTTCGTGATTGGAGATATTTCTGTTTCCATGAAAGATTCAAAATTGAATAATTACGTTGATGGTGAGTCCCCAGATGGTCGGCCTTCCGAAGAACACCATTCTGGCTCCACTTGCTATAGCCTTGAATGCATCTACTCCACTACGAATACCCCCGTCCATGTAGACTTCTCTGGGTGGATAGAATACCTTCAACGCATCCACTACATTCGACACCACATCAATCTGAAACACACACCTCAGTGTTCACTTGCATAGAGAGAATTAATTTAAAAATACAGAGAAAAGTCAGTTTATAAAGTTTCAAATGTTGAAAAAAAGAAATGTTTTCAAATGAGCATAGTGCAAACCCCATTGCGTAATCCCCAAAGCGTTGAAATGATGGACAGAAAAATTCAGATTCTTCAGCTGAACTTGCTTAAGTAGATGAAAGGTTTGTCTCATCCTTTTAAGAGACATTCTCTAAAGCGGAGTAAGGGTTACATTTGTGGAGAGAGAAGCTGTAGACCAGGGGTTTCCAACTTACATGAGGCTAATTAAAAACTCCAGTCAAATGGCGGGCTGCAACTTTATCAAAATTTTATACAGGACTCTTTTATGTTTGAAGGAACATCAAATATTACTGTCAGATTTCTATCAAGTTGTACAAAACAAACGTATCGAATTACAAATTAAAATTGGAAGTAGATTGAGCAACATGCGCGACTATTTTTGTATTTGAATAAATATTTTCTCGGATGCAAAACCTGAGAAATAAATTTTTTTGCGTCGTTATTATGTTAAATTTCGCAGAAACGAAGAATTAAGGAGTTTTTTTTAAACGAAAGAAAGGTATTTTAAAACCATATAGTTTTTTACGAAAATTGTCCGCAAAAATGACAACTAATATAATTTAGTTCGCGGGCCTCAAAAAAAAGGCTTCGCGGGCCGCCAGTTGGTAACCACTGCTATAGACAATGTCAACCATCATCTACGAAAAGGTATCTTAAAATAGAATGGATTTAACATAAGTAGTGAATTAGAGTTTCATTTTTGTAGTGGTACCCAAGACAAATTTTATGATGTTTTTTCTTTGATGGACCAACATGAATATGATGGTAACCATCATGAATTTCCATCAAAAACCCTCATGTTTTATGATTATTCTACAATTTTTTGATTTGCGTTCTCTTTCTATTTTTTTTTAGTACTTAACACACTTTTGATGAAATAGTATCACTTGGCACCTTTAAATAAAAGGATCGCTCCGTATTAGATGAGGAGAAGAAACATAATTTTTACAACTTTTCCACGGATATTTCTTCAAAACTCTAAAGCAATAAAGTGATGCTATTTAGAGTAACTAATATAAAACTTAACATTTATCAGCGTTTAGATTTTTAAAAAAATTTCATTTTTAGTTCAGCTTAAAGTGATGAAAACTGATTTAGAAGATGCTAAAAAAATGAGTTTAACATCAATAATGATATTTCATCAAAAATCTAACATCAGACAACTGATTATTTAAAACGATCTCAAAAACAATGGATTGCTAAATTGTATGGGTATAACTTTCGGATATATGTAAGTGACGTTGTGCGTCTGCCACTACAAAACTGTGCGTTTGCTATAGACTTCGACTATTTAACTCAATCAAGAGGAGGTCATCAGGGAGTTGAAATTGAATAAAAGTTTACTTTGGTTTGCAACATAATTAGAAAGAAACTTTTTTTAAAAAAATGATTTTTAATGTTCTACCCATTTTATTCAAATTCTGGTCATCTAACATCATAAATATTAAAACATTACAATTTTCTTTTACCTTTGACAATTCGAAATCTTGTGCTCGCTATCAATAAAAAAAAATTAAAATAATAAAAAATTATAAAAATTATTTTTTTTAAATGAGTGATTGATTTTTATAATTTGGGAGAATTTTTTAAAATTTTATTTTTTTTGGTTACATTGTCCTAAAAAAGTTTTTTTAAAACAAGAGGGTGGCTTTATCCATTAAACTGTTGGCACCCTATTTCCTGGATTGCGAACTTATTCTGAGGGATTATGAATAGCTTGAAAATAAAATTGTTTTTTTTTTAGGTGATCCAACTCACTAACTAAGTAGTCTTTTTATTAACCTTTTTTTAAAAAATTATTTTTCGCAATGACCTTCTTTATTTCGCGCTTTATCTTTTCATTCCCTGCGACGTTTGCAATATAGCAATCATCTGTAGATTAAAAAATAAATAAAGAAGCAAATCATACAGTAGCTGGATCAGAATCTAGTTGTCTCGCCCCGTGGTTAGATACCAAAATAGCGGAAGCTCCTGCCTGCACTGCACTTCTTGCATCTTCTCCTACATTTCACAAAAAAAAGTTCATGAATGTACTACAGAAATAAATAGTAGCGGGGCTAGTTACTATTTCAGTTATTTTTTTTCTCTAAAAACTATGATAAATTATGAACAAAAAAAAACTTTGAATGATGAAAAACAATGAAGTAAGGGGGGGGGGGAAATAAGAGAGAGATGCTAAGTCACTACAGAGTCGGCGTTTCATTTCTCGAATTCAATAATACCTTAGTAATATTGTAGTCGCATTATAGTAGTTCAACGCATCGACTACTATACCCAGAAAGCATATAACCTTGCGTCGGAATTTTCTTTCGAGTGTCACGAAGATGTTCGCACTAAAAACCTTTTTTCAATGAAGCAAAAATAGTGCAGTTACAAACCTTTCATTCGAAAAGGATTAAAAAAATATTTCTTTAAAGCTTTTTTAAAAAAGTAGTGGTCACTCATGACGTTTTAGGTGACGTCACACTAGCGATAGGATCCAGTTGTCCATTAAAATTTCAAGACAAGGTGGATTTTAGTTGAGCATAACAAGACTTTACGAGAAGAAACCTTCTAATGACCCAGATTTAAGATTGCATTCCCCTTGAGACGATGAAAGCAATTTTTCACACTCGAAAACCCCAAGTCAACCTCGATGTAAGGTTTTTACAGAGAAGGTTGTATTCCAAGGTTTCGGATGAGGGTAATGTGCGTAGAATAGAGCAGAGGGTCACGGATCTCGTTTCAAGGTGAGAAGGCTTACACGTAAACAGCATAAAAAAAACTTTTTAGGTTTACATTAAAAGGTTTTTGCTGAGTGAAAATAAATCTTACTTTGCTATTTGGGATACTATCTAGTGTTATAGTAGACTGATCATTTCGACTTTCATGTGTTACCACTGATCCATGTATGTACTTCGCACAAATGTTGAATGGTTGTGTATCAGTCCCCAATGTACTAAGATGGGTACACTATCTTGCCAAAAGTAAGGACATCCTGTGGGACACATTAACAGGATGTGGGTCTCCCCTTTTGCATCCATGACAGCGAACACTCTTTCACCAGTTCTTTATTGGACTTCCATCACAGCTTCTTGCAGGGAGGATTTTGACTGGCTAACTTAAATCTGCACTCGAATTCCTCCCTAAAAAGGTGTTCTATGGAACTGTGAGAGGGCAGTTTTCGAATACCCGTTTCGTCAAACTACGTCTCTGCCAGTCTAGAGAAATGGTTCTGAGATGGGGTTCTTATTCAGCAGATTTTTTATATACTTCTTATTTGTATTTATTTTTAACGTATTGCATGACAATGTTAAGCCATTGATGCACGATTGTAAGCAAGTGCAAATCGCGCAAAAACACCAAAGCTGTATAGAGTATCACCTGGTGATTAAGATCTTACACAGAATCTTAAAAGAGTGAAGTCTCATGGAGTGTATAAGAAAATAGAAACGAAACCTGATAATATTCCTTTGACGACGATGGGTAGTCTGGTGATCGTCTTCAACCACCGGATGTCGTCGAATGTCGCTGCTGCTGAAACGATATCTTCATACTCAGGACCCAGATTCACCAATCTGAAAAATTATTTACATTTTTTTTTAAAGCTTTCAGGTCATAGGGCAACATTTTGCCGCTGGGCAGTTGCAGCATTTTTTTCACAGTGACCATTTTTTTTTAAAAAAAACACAAAGCCACTTTTCCAAAATTGAAAATTATTTTTTTTTAAATATTGTTAAACATTTCAATTGAAGTAAAAGCATCTCAACATGCTACGAGGTTTATTTTGCTTCTAAAATGGAAAGTTTAAGAAACAGAGGTTTGGAATAAAGTAATTTTCAGAAAATTATAAAAACTTCAAGATAATTCCATCTTTATTTAGAGAAATAATAACAAAATACAGTCCCTGTCCAAATCATGAGACGCACTCTAAGATTCTATGTAAAATCTTAATTATCGGGTGATACTCTATACAGCTTTATTGCTTTTACGCAGTTTGCACTTGTTTACGTTCCTGTATTAATTGCTTAAATTAAACGATATATAATATAAATTCGACGATTGGATAAATGACATGATATATCAATTATAGAATATATATAGGTATTATATTGTAATAATTAGATTAAATGATGAGACGCATTGTAGTGTTTTAATAATGACATGTTTTGCACGCGTTTATAGGCAATACTTTTATATTTAGACATACATGTAATGGGTTCTTATTCAGGAGATGTTTTATAGACTTCCTATTTGTATTTATTATTAACGTATTGCATTATAATGTTAGCCCATTGAAACACTAACGTAAACAAGTGCAAACCGGTTTCAGTCTCGTGAAAACAATTAAGCTACTAAGATTTCAATAAAATCTCAGAGTGAGTCTAATAATGTGGCCATGGATTGTACACATTATCGACGAAAAAATTGTAGACAATTTTTTTAGTTTGCCCGTGGCCGTTCATTGCTTATCTGATTTTGATGAGCATCCCTATAATTTCCTGCTTATTCTTTTTTATTGTAAAGACTTGGCTCGTTTTATATAATTTTTTCACTCATTGATATAGATTTTTAATGAAGTAACGTTTCATTTTGATCCTATTTTAGTTCGGAAATGAAGGAGTCTCAAGTCCTCGTGAGGAAAAACAAAAATTTCAGAATCCTATAAAACAATATAGATAAAACAAAAATCAGTTTTAACGGCAATTCACATTAGCAGATAGATTAATAATTTAACACTTTTGTAGCGTGCCTACCACTACAAAAATACAATCACTAGTATATATAAGTTGCAATCAACAACAACAACGTAAAACGAGAAAAACAAGAGATATCTCGTCTGTGGCGGCAGTTATATTAAATAGAAAGAAAAAACAAAACAAATGAAATGAAATCTTTAGACGTTTAATAGATTACACAGAATATTGATTGTGCCATGAAGAGATTGATCTACACATTCTTCTAAAATGGAAAAACACGGATTTTTTTTAAAAATAGCAGGCATTTTATTTGAAAGAAAATAACAATGTTCTTTCTCACGTTTGCTTCATGAACATTAAAGAAAAAAAGAATCAGATTGTAAGAAGGGGAAATGTTCCTTTTTCTGCATTAATAGGAGAAAAATAAAATATGTCTTTCATGTATTCTGTAAAATAGTTCATTTTGGTGAAAAACGTTTTTTTGTCTCTTGAGCGGAAAGTTAGAAAATATATCAATCCTTATAAACTTTTGTTTCTTTCACTTGGAAAACTATTATTGTGCAGGGCCCACACCCTGAATAACTTTTGATCGCATCTTCACGTTTTAGGATTCAATCTTAGTTTTTCAAGGGCCTTAAATATGTTAACTAATTACTGCAGTTGGTATTTATAAGTTACGAAATCAGATACAAAATCGTACGCTCTCTGAACAAACATACGTGTTTTTCAACGGATTCCTGCCCACCTAAGATGGAGGGGGTGCCAGCAATCTGGGAAATAGGACCCCCATAGTTCTGTCAGGAGGGCTGACCGACCCTTTCGTGTTCATCTTACTTTTTGGGTATTTCGCACTGTCTCAAAAACTTTTTAAGCTAATGAAAAACAATTTGCGCACAATTATAAACTTTGGTTATTCGATGATAATAATTCCACGGGAAAAACCTTTAGTAAATATTTATTATTTTTTATTATTATATTTAATCATAGTCGAAAAGGTTTTGAATTGTAAGGTATGCCATTTCTTACTTCATTTTAAAGAATTTAATTTTATACGGCAAAATACAAAATTTGAGCGAAATCGGCCGAATAGTAGTTCGGCCGATTTCGAACACCTGAAAAATCGAATTTTAAATATACGACTTTCTTTTTTCAAATTCGATGTCAGGAACTATTCGATCAATTTCGCTTAAATTTTGTAATTTACCATATAAAATTACATTCTTTAAAATTAACTTTAACTATCGTCTGCATTAATTAATCAACACGTATGACACGTAACACTATTTCAGCTACTAAGATTAGGTCTTAGAATGTGAAGATCCGATCATTAGATCAAAACTTATGAAGGGTAGTCTGTTTTCTTTGAGAACATTGTACCTGTAATTATAAACTTATAGGAATATGTTATGCAAAGTTATTCATGGATCTCAAATTAATATTTAAGAGAAGAAACGCTTTCGTAAGTCTTACAACTTGAAAGAACTAAACATCAAAATTACACTACAGAGAACAGAAAACATCAAAACCTTTATGAATGCTGGAAAGAACTGAGAGAAATTAAAAAGCGATAAATATTTTTTTTTTAAATGGCACTCGGCCTTATTTTCCACAGGGTAACGCTACTCTCTCGTCGTTACCCAGTGGGCAAATGAGGCTGAGTCACGGTGGTGGGGTGGCGTTGCCCACGTCATCCAACCACAAACCTATTTATAGGGTGGGTTACATTCACACAGAAGGAAGGACATGGAACACAGAGAGAGTTGTTGTTCATTTACGTCGCACTAGAGCTGCACAATGGGCTATTGGCGACGGTTTGGGAAACATCCCTGAGGATGATAATCTGCAGAGGGGATGACACCCCCGCTTCGGTAGCCCTGCACGCAAAGTCGAGCACTTAACGGTAGAATAGTTTAACAAGGACCCATGCCACACACCCTCCGTCCCAACGCAGACTGATCCAAGTGGTCACCCACCCGCACACTGACCGCAGCCAGTGATGCTTGACTTCGGTGATCTGCTGGGGACCGTGTCCTATCGATCAGTCCACTGCGGGACCCAATTTCACCAGGCCTTCTAACTAGTCTTAAGGACTCACACAGTGATTCGACCTATTGACAAAATATGAATGGTTCGACCTCTCACATGAATATTTGAACTGAGATTAAATACTTGATGTGATCTGGTATTTGGAACCTCCTAGCATGGCAGGTAAGTGTTCCCTGAATGTTGGAGTCAGCGGTGAGCACAATGGCCTTGAAATGGCTCCTATCAGCCCTCCTCACAATCTCTTCCGTCAGACTTCGGTTCTGAAATATGTAGGTTTGCATCCAGAGCTGGATTCTCGTCCCCCGCGCTTTCATCGCAACCTCTTCTATGGATGTCGTCGAATAACTGCTCAAGATCATCACAGTTTTCACATCAGACAGAGCTGAAATGAAAAACACAGATCGAAGAAAGACAGTCAAATTATGACACGCACTCTAAGATTCTAATCTTAATTATCAGGTGATAACTATATACAGGCTTTATTGCTTTCACGCGACTTTTTGCACTTGTTTACGCTCCTGTATCAATCTGTTAACATTGTAATGCATTACGTTAAAAATAACTACAAATGGGAAGTGTATGAAAAATCTCCTAAATAAAAACCCAAATCGCAATTTCGATCCTCTGCAGAGGGGATGGCTTCCCTGCTTTGGTAGCCCGTGTATTTTACAGTAGAACAGTTTAACAAGAACCGATACAGCGCACTCTCGGCCCTACGCAAATGATTAAAGCTAACTGACCACAGCGTCGGATACCACGCGATGAAGGCGGAGCCAAGTGGCAACTCCTGGCGAACGAACTATAGCTTAGACTATTCAACGAAGCTACGTCACTTTTCGCTATGGAATTTTCATGAAATCACTCTAATAATTTTCAACCGTCCCAAAACTTACTTTTTAGAACGAAAAAAAGAAAAAAAAAACGAAATAATGGAAAGTTTGATTCTGAATTTTTTCTCCAAGATTTTTCCAAATTTAATGTTTGTTTTTAAGGCATACGCATTTTCTTCTTCTTAACTCTAAACAGATGACGGTCATCGCCTTAGATCATTCCTTTCATACGAATTATTGCTACAAGTAAATGGATGTGGTTTTCTGAGGATTTTCAGTTCAGACCCCCCATTTTAATTTTTCATCTCAAATAAAAAATAAAAAAAACATGTGCCTAATAGTTTTACATAAAGAACATTTCAACAGAATTAAAAAGAAATTCTTAAAAAAACTGTCTCTTGTAAAAGGATTTAATTTTGAAATACATACCGGAAATAGTGGCCAATTCACCCTCAGGATGGGCCAGTTTTTGAAGTGCAACCGGTGATAACCCAATAGGAAAGTCCACTTCCTCTCCCAAAACTCTAGTTTTCAGTTGATTTCGATACACGTTCCTCAGTACTTTGGGAATTATCTGTATTCTACTCTAGACAGAAGGAAAAAACACATTCAAATGTTGAATTTTTTTCCAGGGGTCATTTTTTCTTACATTTCCATATTTTAAAGAAAGTTTAAAAATAAATAAATAAAGATATTTTAGTGTTATTCGTATACAGTGTCTCTCATTCACCCTTGTCAGCAAAGAACAATCACAAATATCACCCCCTCTTTAAACGGGTTACTTGATATTGGATTCCAAAATTAAAAAAAAAAAGTGATTTAATAGTTCAGGTAAGAAAGAGAAGAATTTTATAAATGAATCTTTGAAAGCAAGAGGCTCATGACAAGACATTCTTGTTAATATTTTAACCGTTTGAAAAAAAAATGCTGAAAATCAACCAACTTTTTTATTTTATTCATAAATACAAGGAACTAAAACAAAACATAATGCACACGTTTTAACTTGACATTTTAATTTGTTATGAGTAAAAAACATTTAATTGACCATCAGGTTTATTCTCCCCAATTATCTCGGACAAATGAAAAAAGTTAAATATTAGTTTTTGTAAGAAAGTTTTTAAAACAAGGGACAACGCAAAGGGATACTTTCCAAACGCCAGGGAAGTGACACGCTATTTCTTTTGACTCTTTTTTTCTATGTCAATTCAGCAACCATCGTATATACAATCGTACAAAACACATGTGCAGTCCCACAATCTAACAGAAAAACTCAACAAACAAAACTTTGTGAACTTGCAATCATAGCAGATTACTATTTTTTATTTTTTGGGTTCCGGCCGATTAAAAACGTGATAAACCAAAACGCACTGACGCATTCTGCTACAACCGTTTTTTTTTTTGGGGGGGGGATAATAAATAGTTGCAATACATACGTACCCGAGTTAATTCGGGAGTTCAGTCAGGGAAGCGGTGAAGAACTATTCAGGTGACCTCAAAATAGTCGAATGTAAAAAGTGTTTCACAAGTAGACAAGTATTGAAATAAAACCGTCATAACCTCTGAACGGTTTCGCCAAACTTCGTGGTTGACCACACAGGTCATGATTGGAATGGGTTGTGGTTGTCGGCCATTTGCAACTGACAACATCATGATGCAGTTTGCCTGATCACTTATGAAGGCCAACTTGCGAGGCGTAACAGCTCGATTGCGGCTGAAAGGAAGTTTATACATATGCTGAAGGTCAAAGTGCACCAACCATCAAGAATAAAGTGTTGAGGATTGTGAAGACAGTGTTGGAAATATATCAGTCGACAAACAAATTTGAAAACATTGAGAAGACATTCGCTGTATTCCAAACCAACCCAAGGAAATGGGTCAAAGGAGCTGCTGCACAACAGGTGTGAATAAACCACGATGTGGATGTGGAAGACGATCCCAAAGGACCCAGAGAGTGTTCTAGAGAAGCACTTTGGAGTACCCAGACTCCACTGGAATGGGCCAGCATATTCTCCGGAACTGAAAAATTTTTGGGGATTTATTAAAGATGATGTGTACAAACATTACCATTGCTGAGCTGCCATTTAGGATATCATCGATATTCCGACACTTTTACTGGGCCATTCATTTGCTCCACATAATGATCGAACATATTATAACCTAAATCCGAATATCTGTACCTACCGCCGATCACAGTGCTGACTTCATGTCCTCAGTGTTAGATGTAGCTGTTCAACAAGGGGTTAGATTCCCCTTGTTGAACAGCCGACCCCATTTAAGATTTTCGACTCCCTATGTTCAACGTCTTAGTATTGTCATTCTGAACCCTATCCAGAAGACAAGGGAATTCCAGGATCTAGTATGGAGATAAATTTGCCTTCGTTGAGGACTTTTTGATGGAACTAACCCGCGTTTGCGTTACACGTAGAGGAAAACCACGAAAACCTCCATGGGTTAGCCAGCACTGCGGCTAACTACCAGCCATTACTGGGAATCGCCATTACTGGGAATCGCCATTACTGGGAATCGCCAGCCATTACTGGAAATCGAACCAGATCCACCTCATTGGAAGTCGAACGCTGTATCTCCTGGGGCCACTCTGTGGCATTCAATTGTCGTGTTTGGTGAGAATCCTCCTTATAATTTATCGAAATAAATATATAATTTAAAGTCACCCAAAGCAACTCAACTTAGTTCTTCTTCAGGGGGATATAGATTGGTTGAGAAAGATTTACCGTCTGTAGGCTCTCTTGTTCTCTATGTAGGTGTCTCTTCTGCCGGCTGCACCCAGGAAATAATTCCTGAAATCAAGGGGAAGAAGTGCGGGAGCACAACGGTCAAAATCATCCACCGTCACCTTAAGTAGTCTATGGAAAGAAAACATACCATCTAAACATACCATTTAAAATAACAGTTAATAAATAGTATTTTTATTGTAAGAATTTTTGGCTCAGAAATCATCTCCCACCCTTGAGTATATCAAATGTCATTTTCTTTAAATGTCAACTGAAATGTCTGATAGTTTTTCACTGAAATTCTAGTATTTCTAAATTTTTCATAGAGTTGACAAGTACATTCAATCTTATTATTATTTCACTCGGGTGATTTTCCCCCCCAAATAATGTGATGTGATGGAAGTCCTATCAAAAAGTGGTGTGCAGGGGCTGTCATCGATGGGCGATAGACATCCCAGAAAGTATGTACAGCTTTCGCGATCGGCACTCAAAATAAGTACGGTGATCTTAATACAGCTCTCCGGGCTTTTCACAAAACAGCAGTGAATCAATTAGTGGTATCCTATTCATCGATTTCCAGCACAGCTATAATTCTGGTGGGGGGGGGGAGTACTGTAGTGTGTCTACCCCTACAAAAATACGATTCCAATTCAATGGTATATAAGACATGTTAAGTCGATTCTATGGTGGGATGCATTTTCACACATGAATTTTGACTCTCTCCCCACAACTTTATTCTCCTATTGTTTGATATTATATACTCTTTGAAACGTTGATATTGGTAGTGGGTGCGTGAAAATCCGATCTTTAAAACAAAAGTTATTCAAGACGTTTTTTTCCACATGAATCTTTTAAAAAAATTATTATTTTATGCTTATCATTATTTTACTTTCCTAAATATTTTAGCATTTATTTACGAAGTTTCCAAAGGATGATAATAAGTTGCTTAAATTTAATAATGCAATTTTTTTTAAAAATTAATAATGCAAGAGCTTTTGAATTTTGTAAATGAAATCAAATCAAAATGCGACCTTTTCATTACAAAGCATATGAACTGCATTTTTTGTTGTTTAATTTTAACATCTGCCCCATAAAATTCTTCAAAGTATGTTTGTATTTAAGTAGGGTCTTTATTTCCAAGCATCTGTAATTCTAAACACTCATTTTCAGAGGAAAGTTAGAGAATTCTATAAAATTTAGTAGAAAAAAACCCCTAAAACTAAACAAATATACTTAATTAAACAAATATTACCCGTGCATTAACTTTTATGAGATATATTTAAATGGTATAATTAAAAAAAATATGAAAGTTAGTAAAATTTAATTTTGTGGAACATAAAATATTTATCACGTCGAAAATTTTAGATCCGTAGTTGATTATTGCAAATGAGTCAATATAATGTATTAATACTTATCAAAATCGCAGTTTTCTGGTTGGTAAAACTCTTGGCAAGGCACCTACGGAAAAAAAAAAGACACTTTAAAATTTGCTCTAGAAATATTTGCGAAAATGAACTAAATATCAAGAACGGTTTACATAAATTTCTCATCGCCATCTGTTGCATTTTGAGGGTTACTAAATTTTGACGAATGAATAGCGTGTCAATACGGTTTTCCCCGAGAGTTATTGCGCAGTAAAATGTTCGATCCTTATCCACGCTAAGAACAAATATAAATTGAGAGGGAAGAATGTTGAGGAAAATACGATCAAATCATCAAAAATTGCACATTTTGTTTTAGGAAATATAAATTGTGAGATTCGTGTATGTTTTCAATCGAATCATCTTAATCAGCTTTTATAGACATTTCCTTCCCTAATATTAAAAAAATGTGAACTTTATTATCAACTCAATAAAAAATGAAATATATGGTTAAAATACAGGGAAAGATTTAAAAATGTGCCTTATTGTTGATGAAGTTTCAATCATCTCCAGCAAGTCCAGTTTCAGTGATTTTTATTAAAATGGAAGATTTAGAAATCTCCCCTTTCATCTCTGTCGGATTTTTTGAATTGTGAAAGCAAGATTCTAAATCCATTTTTGAAATGTTCTGTTCATGTTCTGTTCGACAATCTGTTATTTAAAACTAAATCTGGTAGCGTTGTCTGTGTTTGAATTTTGAGTCATTTTCCGTTTGTCATCGTTTAAGACATTGCCTTCAGTAGTTTTAGATTATTCAATCGGAGTAGTAAATAATTTATTTAAATCTTGTATTGATAAAGTTTCATCTATCAAACAATAATCTGATCTCAGAGCAGCACTAGAAAATGGAATGATTAAAATGTTTTTTGGATTGGCAGTTGAAGATGAATCTCTTCAAATCAAACGAAAAATGCGGAAACGCAAACCTAGAGAGTGAAATCTTCCCGAAACATCATAATGGATCCCCTATGTTATCCAAAGCATTACAAAAAAGAAATTTTTCATTTAATGAAAGAAAAAAGAATAATTTGATTTGACGAACAATTAAAGCTTTTGAAAATGCTCCAGACTAATGATGGATCTTTAGAGGAAACTTTTAGTTATAAAATATTTGAATACATTCAATGAGGGAGAACACAGAACTCAAGTGTTTTCCGTATGAAATAGATAGAAAACATAATTCGATATCTTAACCGTTTCCCGCATTATCCCGAGTAAACTCGGATATGTATAGGTTGCAGATATTTACTATCCCGAATAAACTCGGGCACAATAGAATACGTCAATACCTTTTGTATTATCACGTTTTTAGGCGACCGGAAGCGAAACAAATAATAATCTACTGTGATTGGAAGTTTGCCCATTTTTGTTTGGCAGTTTTGCTATGTGTGGGACGTGTTTTGTGCTATTGTATATAAGATGGTTGTTGATTTTACATGGAAAAAAAGAGTAAAAAAAAATGGCGCTCGTGAGAGAAAGTAATGCAGCTGATGAAGATGTGTAACCTATACAAAGACTTCACTTTTTTCATTGTCCCGTGATAACTCTGGATGGTAAACAGATGGTCAATAAAATGGTTTTTTACACATAAAAAAATTAAAATTTCAACTTAGAACTTGTGCATCCTGTTTTGTTTGAGCTCCTCGTATTTATAAATAAAATTTAAAAAAATACGTTGATTTTGTGCATCCCCCCGAAAAGAAAATGGGGAAAGGGAAGCGATTAAATGTTTTGAATCCCATCATTGGTCGAAACCCTTTCCAGAAATCATTTTCAAGAATTATACCAGCTGCCAAAAAAGATTCTTCAGAAGCTATTCCATAGTCGCAATAAAATAAAAATAATTAAAAAATAACCGCAATTAAACATTTTATTGCAACTCGTCACATATTGGAAACAGCATGACTGTAAAAAGGGAGAAATTTTGCCAAAATAGAGATCTTAGAAAAACAGGAGAAGATAGCAAGAAATCAAAGAAAAAATTAAAAAAAATCAAAACAGATAAAAATTCAAAATTAGAAAAAACAAACAAACTACTAATGTTCAAATAATGCTTTTTTCCCCCCATCACATTTGTAAATATTGTTCGCAATCTCCTTACATATTAATGTATAGATAGTATGTAATAACTTTAGTGTTTTCCTAATTAATTTGATCGAAATTTTCACTTTTAAAATCACTTCCAGACATAAATTCTGCATGCGCGCAGGTGAACAAAAATGTGAAAACGTAAGTTGTTTATTGATATTCTTCTTTTAGAAGCGATATTCACAAATGAAGGCTTCGAATATTCGTTTTCTGATTGTCATTTAGTCACTCTACTTAGTTTTTATCTTTGATGTCTCCAGGATAATTGGTTTGACATTTATTACTACAAAATACACTGTAAATTTGATAGAAAAAGTGATGCAAATTATAGAGTTTTCAAATCTTAACCAATCGAAACATTTTTCAATTATAATAGTATTATAGTGTAAAGAAAAAGCAATTCCGCCAATTGAAGGGTCAAGAGATTGTTTAGGATCCCCCACATCGGGACCGACATTCATGTCATTGTGTACTAGCCGCTTTTACTTCCCAGAACACGCCATCGGTTCGAAAATAGCTTCAGAATCCTTTCTAAAACACGTAGCCGTTTTCTTCGCTGCCACTAAAAAAAATTTTTTTGTTTTTGTTTGTTGAAACATTTAGAAAAATACGACAGGTAGGTTCGTATCATAAAATAAAGAAAAATTTCAAACGCGAAATAAAGTAATTTTCAGAATATTATTGAATATTGATCCATATTTATCAAAAACAATAATAAAAAGTACACGTGGGGCATTTTCGACAATAAAAAAAAGAGATTGGAAGAAAATATTTTTAATCACAATTTATTACATTAAGTGATTGTACCAATATTTCGGAATTTTAGAACAGATTAAAAAAGTGTGCATACATACGTCATTCCATACATCGTAAGAGAATCGGCCTGTAACGGAAGAAAATAGTAGGTACGCGATTGTGAAAATCATCGTAGAAAGGAATGAGTGGGGGCCCCCAGGTGGTTTCCGGGTCAAAGCTTAGAATGAAGAAATGCTTCGACTTTTCATCAGATTTATGGTGTCTCGAACGAGGAAAGTAAAAGTGAAGCAGATGTCCCAAAGCATACAAAACTTATTGAGTTTATGAAGATTCATTGCTTCATCGCTTTAAATAGAATCGCTTCATTAAATATACACAAATAATTGCGTTCTTTCTGTCGTAAAAGTGATATATTTTCACTTTAAATTTTCATTTTTACGGCTGCTCAAATACTACGTAAGCAGGTTTTTTCACTCCTTTTTGGCAAATGAATAATTCCCTCCACGCTGATTTTTGATCTATTTTATACAGTCCCTGGCCAAACGCACTCTAAGATTCTATGTGAAATCTTAATTATCACGTGATACTATATACAGCTTTATGTGATTGTTTTTAAGTGTGTTCCCTACCAGAGGTAATAATTATAGACATATAAGGGAGTACACAATTTGGTCCTATAGGTTACAATTAATATATTTATATAATAATGAGTTGAATAGCGTTAAAATGAGGAAATTCAAAGTCAATATTCAAAGGAAGGAAATTCAAAGTCAACATCTTCCTCTAATAGTGACCTATAATATTCAAATTGGACCACGCATTTTATTACCCGTGTACCCTACCAGAGGAAATAATAATAGGCCTATTAGGGGGTATACACCTTGTGGTCCTACAGTTTAGTATGCATGTATAACAGTGCGTTGAATAGCGTTAAAATGAAGAAATTCAAAGTCAATCTTCCTCTGGTAGGGAAAACTAGCATCCTGTCATATAATACCTGGTCCAATATGAATATTATAGGTCTATATTAAGATAAAATATAGAGCCATGTTGCAAAACAGAATATTGACTTCGAATTTAAATTGACTTCGAATATACATACATAGTAACGTATAGGGTCGTAATGTGGTCCCCCCATTAGGCCTTCAGTGCGCGTGGTTAGGCCACATGCACTGAGATAAATTAAAGTAAAATACTTTACGTTTTCGCTAAAAAGAAAAAATTAATTAATGAATAAAACATTGTAAAATTAAAATGCCAGCCATAAAATAACAATTAACAACATTTAATAAAAAATAAGAAGATTAAATAAATGCTACATAAAAAGCCTGGCCGAAAACGCCAGGAGAAAAAAACACTGCACATGCACTACGCTGGAGGAAAACAGTCACTGTACTGCAGGGAGAGAAAATGTTCTGCTTGGGTTGTCATAACTAATGGAGGAACTCGCCAAATGGGTGAGCGGGTTCCCAGAAAATGTTCGTTAATCGCTACACTGGCGCAGGTCGCTGCACACTCCCTCCGCAGTAACATTGCTATTGCTTATATCGATGAGGTGGCCTTACAGATCTTCTTGTACGTGTTGTGTTTGATGGTGGTGCTGTGACAGTCTGTTTAACCACCTTTAGTCGTACAGACTTACCTGTACTTGTCTTATTTGTACTCATTGGTGGTACTGGAACAGTCTCTTTATTTACAGTCGGCTTGTCTGGAGAAAAGCCAGTATTGTCAGTACTCATGTAGACCGGCTTCAAACGGTCGATGGAAATGGTCTGTTGGATCCCTTTGATTCTCACATCAAAAGTTTTGTCCTTCTTAAGCAGAACTTCAAAGGGACCGTCATATGGAGCCTGCNTCCAATACGAATATTATGGGTCAATATTAAGAGGAAATATAGGGTCTTGTTGTAAGACAGAATATTGATATCGAATTTTCTCATTTTAACGCTAATAAAGACACTATTAGCTATACATACAAAGACTATACATACAAAGTTAAAAAAGTTTAAAAATATTACTAAGTCTAAACTACTTCAAAATATTTCTAAATCTAAAAAACTTCATAATTTTTCAAAGTCAAAACAGTTAGAAAATATTGCTAAGTCTAAATTGCCTCAAAATATTTCCAAGTTCAAACAAGTTCAAAATTTTTCAAAGTTCAAACAGCATGAAAATATTTCCAAGTACAAAACACTTCATAATTTTTCTAAGTACAAAGAAATTCAGAATTTTTCTAAGTTCAAACAACTTCGAACACTGCTGGAGGGAGGGGTCCTGGGTTCGATTCCCAGGGACGGACAATTTTCAAAAAAATTTCTTTTTTTTCTGTTTATTTTAAATTATATTTTTTTTTGTGTTTTTCGATATTCTGGAGGGTCCTGCAGGTAGGAAATAATTTTTTTTCGGGAAAATGGAAAAAAAATGGAAAAATCCAGGAAAATCAGTTTATTTGCTCTTTTTCGACTTCTTTTGTAACATTTTGGATATTCTAGCATGCATGGGGTGTTTTCGGTGTGTGAAATCCAGCAAAGAAAGCGTAATGTATCAATAAAAAAAAAGAATAAAAAAATAAAATGGCTCGAGAAAGGTTCAAATTTCAAGACCCCCAGCTCCCTTTAATATCAAGGTATAATTTTAAAATCGGACCCTAAGTAAGGGTCTATGGTTCAAACAAGGTTGTCGAAGAGAATTTTTGTAGGCCAATTAGGGGGGTCTTATTGGGCCCTCAAAGGTATATTGCGAAGATGAGATGAGAGAGCTTTTGAAGCGAAACTGTGGTAGGCTTCGCGTATCACCGTGGACTGGAAGGTAGTCCAACAGACAAGCAAGTTCGCTGCTGGAGGGAGGGGTCCTGGGTTCAAATCCCAGAGACGGACAAATTTTCAAATAACAATAAATCAGGTAATCAGTGACTTTTAACAAAAAAAACACTGAATTCAATTGTTTGTCGCCACCAAATTTTTTTTTATTTTATCATAACATTTTTTTGTTGTTTTATATCTTGCTTTAATTTATAAATACATAAAACCTGAATTTGTCTTGATCGGCCTCTAATATTGACCTATAATATTCAAATTGGAAAACATATTATATTGCCAATTACTAATGTTCCCCACCGGAGAAAATAATTATAGGCTTATTAGGGGGTACACAATGTGGTCCTATAGGTTACAATGCATATATATATATAATAATGTGAATAGCGTTTAAATGAGGAAATTCGAAGTCAATATTCTGTATAAATATATGGTCCCATATCTCCATCTAATATTGACTATTCAAATTGGACCGCGTATTATATTCCCGGGTACTAAGTTTTAAACAAAAGGGAGTGGACCGTAAAAATTGATCAAATGACAGTGGTTTAAAGCACCGATGTAAAGATAGTGGGGTCAGGCTTCAAACAAAATACAGTGGATTACAACATGTCCCTATATCTCCCCTTAATATTGGCCCATAATATTCAAATATCATATTAGAGGGTACTAGTGTACCAAAACCAGAGAAAACAATTATAGGATTATTAGGAGGCACACAACGTGGCCCGATAGGTTACAATGTATGTGTATATATAATAGTGTGTTGAATAGCATTAAAATGAGGAAATTCGATGTCAATATTCTGCATATAAATATGGTCCTATATCTCACTCTAATATTGACCTTTATTATTCATATTAAACCACGTATTATATTACCGGGTACTAGTGTACTCCACCAGAGGAAATAATTATAGGCTTATTTGGGGGTACACAATGTGGTCCTATAGGTTACAATGTAACTATAATAGGTGTTTGTGGGGGCGGAGTTATCGACCATACCAACCGTCATCTATCAAAAGGTACCTCATGATAGAATCAAGTTAGCATGCTTTATATATATATTAGTGAATTGATGTTTAATTTTCGTACTGGTAGTTACGCCACATGTTGAAGAGCGTTGAAATTATTAAATTCAAAGTAAACATTCAGTATTACAATATGGTCCTTTATATCCCCTTAATATTGACCTATAATATTTAAATTGGACCACTTATTATACTACAGGGTTCTTGTGTACCCCACCAAAGGAAATAATTATAGGCCTAATTGAAATGTATGAACATATAATTCTCATTATATGAGATACGTTAGAAGTTCCTCTTTTAAAGGGCTTGTCGCGTAGTCGCCAAAGGAATCAGCTGGATGACATACACAGGATCGGCAACCTTGTATTTTTCCCCAGTATTTAAGAAGCTTCGAACTTTGCTCCGTGCACACTCATACTTAATTCTACATTTCTGTTTTTATCTTGTTATGTTTCAGTTAGTAATAGATGTTGTTCTACTGTACGGAGAAAAATAAATTTGATATCGTTGTAAAGAAGAAAGTTCAAATTATTCATTTAAATAAAAAAAATATTTTCAAAAATTTTGACATTTTTCACTTTCCGGGTCCCCTTAATATGAGAGGGTTCCTCTTCCTCAATTGGTGACCCGGACGTGATTTGAACACGGAACCTTCTGATCTGGAGTCAGACATGCTACCGTTGCGCCACCGATTCATAGTGGTATCATAGGAAGGTAGCCGAAAAAGCACACAAACGTATTGAGCCTTGCAATTTTAATTTAAACTGCTGAACTCTATTATTAGTGCGGGGGTTAATAGTAGTGAGAATTTAAAATTTAGCCACCGACTTTTTGTTACTGATCACAAAACTAGGTCACTGTTCTTAGTGGATCTGATGTAAGTTTATTGCCTATAAGATTTAAAGTTTGCAGGCCAACGTCAACGTTCCCTTAAGGCATTTCCCCTTCTCTTTTTTCCTCTAGTGAGATCGGATCACACCCGTATTCCTTAGGATGCAACTAGAATATATTCCGCATCCGATTCGGTCCCGCAGTGGACTGATCGTTAAGACACGGTTCCCAGCAGATCACCGAAGTCAAGCATCACTGGCTACGGTCAGTGTGCGGGTGGGTGACCACTTGGATCAGTCTGCGTAGGGACCGAGGGTGTGCGGTATTGGTCCTCGTTAAACTGTGCTACCGTAAAGTGCTCGACTTCGCGCGCAGGTCGTCGGGCTACCGAAGCGGGGGTGCCATCCCCTCCGCAGAGGATCAAAATTGTGATGGCATGTCTTCGGATCATCCTCCGGGATGTTTCCCAGACCGCCGCCAATATCCCATTGTGCAGCTCTAGTGCGACGTAAATTAACAACAACAACAATTCTCAGTCTTTGTTTGACTTATTGACGCTAGAACACAAAAAAATTCTGAAACTATTAAAAAAATTCCAAACTAAGTTTGTGTTATGAACCTAGGTTACAAAATAAATTAAGATATGCTAATTATGCGTAATTTTTTACTTCATGAATATATATATAGAGAGAGAGAGAGTTCAATTTGTTAGTTTCGGATGTAGTATAATGTTATTTTGAATAAAATACTTTTAACTGTACTTAATTTGAGACTTTTATTTTACTTTTAAAAAGAAATATTNCTGAATATATTTTCGCAATTGCGTTTACTGCATAAGGGGAAAGAATTAGACGATGATTGGTGCAATGCAATTGCATTGATTTTATTTGTCCCAGTAAGAATTGTCTGTAAATTTGTACTTGCAATAGTATAAAAAAGCCTGCATGTGGATACAGAATTCATTAAGTAATACATTTTAAGGAAAGGAAACTGGTGGCAACTGGTGCGCAGGGGAGAGGCAAGTTGAGTCTGCTATTGAATTGATTAGACTGCAAGACGGTTCAGTTTTTAGTTTGGAATTGACGCCGGGGTTAAAATTATTTTTCATTTATTTAATGTTATGAAATTTTATATCTCTGAAGAAACTAATCACAAGACGCCAATCAAAGTAAAAGATTATATTGTATCCTACATTTTTAGATTTCTTAGAACTTTTGGTTAATGTATCTAATAAGCCTAAGATATTTTTATCTTGCCGGTTGTTTCAAATCCTACACTAATTGTATTTTCCATGTTTCAAATGCTTTTATTTGCTTAGTTCGTGATTGAATGAAAAAATATTGCACTCCAAAATTTAAAGATTCAGTCTTATAATGAATTAAGATTTAAATCTTACTTCTTTTCTTTAATTTACTTAAATATTGCATTCGAGTTGTTTTAGATACGTTATATAATTATTTGTGTTTTTTTTTAAAAATAACTTTGTTCTAATCATGCAATTTTTTTTATTTCTATGTTTATAAAAATTATTAAAACGTTTAATTCACGAAATTTCTTTTGTCCTTTAAATGATGTATGGAAGAAAGATCAAATCATTATTAATTGAATTTACCATAATAAATAGATTTGCGTTTTCTTCAAGAGTCTTTCCGAAAACATTATGTGTATGTTTAAAATAATTTTGCTTAAAATTTTTAGTCTTGTAACTGATTGCAGCTTGTGTTTAATAATTGTATGCAGAGAGGCTGAAAAATTCCTTTATTTTTGTAAGGTCTGTATAGTTTCTACAATAAGTGTTCCATAGAAATTATTTGTTCTAGTAAATGGTTAAAAAGTTTTAACTACATGAGATTGAATTGATAGGCAAGAAAGTATTCAATTAAAAGAGATCAATACTTAGGTAATAAATTTATACTTCTATGTTTAAAATTTTTCTAGTAGACAGGGCTGATTGTGCTCCGGAAAAAATCCGGATTTCCGGAATTTTGGCTAACAGTGATCCGGAAGTTTCCGGAGATCGAAGGTCCACACAGAAGTTTCCGGAAATCAAATTTTCAAAGGTGGAACTTAAAAACGCAGTTTATTTTATTTCTTTGTAAGGAAGAGCCAGAGAGATGCTTTATAAGCTTATATTCATGATTAATATNATGAATTCCATTCTCTATAGTTGTTATAATCATAAACTCAAGAAAGAAAGACATATTTGTAAATTTTGATTTCTTCTCCAGGTCATCATAGGTATGCGTAAATCCCATAAGCAGAATATTTTCAAATGTTCTGCAACAGGACTCATTAATTTATACAAATGTTCTGCAAGCATTTCACTTCGAAAAAAAGTCAAGTTTAAGTTAAAATACTATATTTTCACTTATTAAAATACAGGATCATACACAGATACACTGCATTATTTTTTAAACCAAGGCAAACATTCTAGATTCATTACTTTTTCAATCACTTTTGAAGTACAAATTTTGTTAATGACGACGATGATGAATTATTAATAAAATACCTATGATATGAAGGTCCAAACATTAAAATAAGGGCTGCCTAAAAAATCTTTCGAAGGGACAAGTGCCCAAATGGTGCACCATTTGCAAACACAAACATTCGCTGGCTGTTGTTCCAACAACTTCTTCATCTCCATCGAAAGCATTTGGTCTTTCAGAAACAATTCTGTCAATCGTGGATCCCCACGATTCTCAAATTGCTTTTGAAATGGGAATGGAAAATATAAAAGTCATAAACTTTATGAAATTGGAAATCTCGGAATTTAAATCTTTTACGGCTTGATTTAGAAGCTTTCTTGATAAAATAGGTGATCGATTTCTCCTGCTGTCTGCTAAACACTGATACACCCATTTTATAAAAATGTTATAGCCAAAAGCTTATTCTTTAATTTCCTCCTCAGAATGGCAAAGATATGGGAGAGGGAGAATACTGATAAATGT